GAGAGAGAGAGAGAGAGAGAGAGAGAGAGAATCATAGCAATCGCCATTCCTTTCTCCCCCGCTTCTTCCTCTCCAGCAACAACCACTACCCCTTTCCGCCATTCCCCCTCCACCCACCACTCCGCACCTAGTAGCTACGCGAGCGAGGGGGCGGACAGCACGGTGCTGCCATCATGCTACTACTCCTCTCGGCAAAACCATTTGTCCCGCCTCCCCACTCCCCTCTTCCCTCCTATCCTCCCAACAGACCATGAGCCCGTGGTGATGCGCGCGGTGGGGGTGGACGGAACGTTGCCGCGGTACTCACAGGACAAGCTGCGGCGGATGACGTGCAACTGGCGCACCAAGCTGGGGGAAGGCGGATTCGGTGCTGTCTACAAGGGCGTGCTTCTGCTGCCGCACGGGGAAGCGCGCAGGGGAGGGGACGGAAACGGGGACGGGGGAGGGTGGTGCGAACAGGGCGAGAAGGAGGTGCAACAGGGGTTGGGGCCTGGGACCATTGATGGTTTGGAAGTGGTGGAAGTAGTGGGTGGGAGGGAGTTTGTTCCGGTGGCAGTGAAGATGTGCTTGACTGACGATGATGAGAGTGGGGCAAGAGAGCAGCTTCTGGTGAGTAATGAATACTCCAGCGCGTGAGTTATGTATGAATGCTACTATGATTGAGTTACATATGAACACTTGTTGGTGTGTCACAAACAATTCACTTACCTGATGAGTTACAGCTGAATACTCTCCTGGTGATTCCAGCTCTTACCCTAAATCCAAAAATCTCCATTCATCCCCCCTCCCCTTACATCTCCTCCCTCTTTCCCCCTCAGACAGAGATCATAACGATGACAGCTCTGTACGCTTTGACATTGTCCCTTCCCTTCCCCTCTCGCTCATGTCGGAATCAACAGACAGGAATGACTGTACTAGCACAAAGTTGGATACAAGTAGGAAACCCTAATCTAGTGTACCCCCTAAGGTGTAACCCACTACAGCCTACAATCATATAAACATATAATGTTTGACACACCCCCATAGGCGCAGTGGGAGACAACCACAGGGTCACGAGACCAGTCAAAGCAAAGAAAGGCAAGCTCAGGGTGGATCTCAAGGATTCCACACAAATTCCGAGCGCAAGCAAGCGGTCACAAGACCAGTCCACATGCAGGTTTATAATAGAGCAAGAGATACAGTGATCACAACCTAGCAAGAGTGAACATGCAGGTATACATATAGATATAGTGATCACAGTACAAGCAAGGTCAAGAAGTAAGCAAATGAGGTCCAGTAGGCACAAGGCCTAGCAGAGTGCAGAAGCGCTGATGGTCACAAGGCTGAAGCGCCTTGGTGAACACATCAGCAGTGTTGGCCTTAGTGGCCACGTGACGAATACAAAGCTGACCGCGCTGCTGCAGCTCTCGAGCAAGGAAGTACCGCAGGGTGATGTGCTTCGTTCTGTGCTCCAGTCTGTGCTCCTCACACAAGGCAATGGCAGCCTTGTTGTCGACGTACAGCACTGGAGGAGAACGAGGCCGCTCTCCCAGGTCGGTCAGCAGGTAGGTCAGCCAGCGTAGCTCCTGGGCAGCCATGGCTGTGGCGTAGATCTCAGCCTCACAACTGGAGCTGAGAACAGAAGAAGAGCGTGTAGAACGCCAAGAAACTGAGCCAGAGCCAAGGCTGAAGGTGTAACCCTGAGACGACCGCTGAGTAGCCTGGTCGTCAGCCCAAGAGGCGTCTGAGTGTCCTGTGAGTACAACTCGGTCTCGCCCTCCAAGCACTAGCCCCATGCCCGACGTACTGCACAAGTAGCGCAACACCCTCTTAGCGGCATCCATGTGCTCCTTCCTGTGACGGCCAGGAGCGACATAGCGTGCAAGGATGCTAAGAGGGTATGCCAGGTCAGGTCGAGTGCAGGTCATCAGGTACATGAGACAGCCCACAAGCTCTGGATACGGGCCACTCGGCTCTACGGACTCATCCGAAGGCAGAGCTGAGAGCGAGTGACCGGTAGGCAGAGGAGTGGACTGAGGCGAGGAGTACGTGAAGCGGAAGCGCTGAAGGATCTGCTGCACCATGTGTGACTGAGTCAAGGTGATGGTGCGCCGTGCTCTGTCCCGGGTGATCCGCAAGCCAAGATAGCTCGTCAGTTCCCCCAGGTCTGTGCACGTGTGTCTCCTCTGCAGCTCCGACTTCACGTGGGCGAGTGCCGCGGTGTCAGCAGTGGCAAAGACCAGGTCGTCGACGTACACGAGGATGTAGAACGGCGGCAGTGAGGTGTCTGTGCGTAGAAACAGTGACGGGTCAGCAGTAGAGGGAGCGAACCCTAGAGCCGCAAGTGTCGTCCTCAGTGTGTCGTGCCACTCACGCGGTGCCTGGCGGAGACCGTAGACTGGCCGCTGGAGCCTCCACTGGGTACCAGGAGGAACCGACCCAGTGAAACCACGAGGGAGACGCAGCCAGATCTCCTCGTGCAGGCTGCCCTGTAAGAAGGCAGTGCTGAAGTCAAGTGAGTGAAGCTCGTAGTCGCGCTGAGCGGCTATGTGCAGCAGCACCCGAAGAGTGGTCATCTTCGGGGTGGGGGAGAAGGTCTGAAAGAAGTCAACTCCCTCTCGCTGGCTGAAGCCTCGAGCAACGTAGCACGCCTTGAAGACAGGAGGAGAACCCGGCGGCCGTTTCACCCTGAAAATCCACATGCCACTGACGATGTTCGCCCCAGGAGGGGGAACCTCGTCGACGTAGGTGCGTGTGGACTTCCAGGAAGCCATCTCTGCGTCCATGGCTGTCTGCCACTGAGAGGAGTAGGGACCCGCCATCGCCTCAGCGTAAGAGCGCGGGGTCGGGATGTCAGGAGCATCCGGGTCTCCCTCAGGGGCAACTAGTAAGGACACGAGACGGGGCAAAACAGCAGCAAGGCACTGGAACTCCTCCTGTCTGTCCTCAAGGACGTCCGTGCCAAGAGCACACTCACCCCCGACGGACGGAGGACAGACAGACTCAGACTCAGACTCAGCGACAAGGCTAGCAGCGTAGTCTAGACGACACCGGGCAGCAAAGTCAACCAGCTCAGCGACCAGCGCAGACGCAGCAGAGGACTCAAAGGTAGGGTCAGTGACAACAGTAGCGAGGAGGCGCGTGACAGTGGGACTGGCAGCACGACGGGAGTCAGACTCCGGGTCAGGAAGAGTAGGAAGAGAGGAAGCGGGAGGAGACGGTAGCGGGACACGCTGAGGAGCAGTGGAGGGACGCAGAGTCATGTAGTGAGTGCCAGGGACAGGAGGAGGACGCTCACGTGGGACACGACGACCAGTGCGAGCAGTACGAACAGGCGACGCAGGACGAGACTCAGGCTCACGACGCTCTGTAAGACCTCCCGTGGGACCAGTGTAAGGAGAGGGAGCAGGGAGAGGCGAGGCAGGCGGTAACTGTGACTGCGGCGGGACAGGCGGAGGACACTCTACGGAGGGAGGAGGACAAGGAGGAGGAGTCTGACCAAGAACCTGCTGAAGGAGCGGTACGAAGTACGGTCGCGGCCGCGCAGCGTCTCCAGAACGAGCAGAGACACCAGCAGCAGGGTCCTCAGTACCCGCAGTAGCTCCAACGTCCGGGTCCTCAGCACCAGCAGCAGCTCCACCGCCCGGGTCCTCAGCACCAGGAGCAGCTCCAACGCCCGGGTCCTCAGCACCAGCAGCAGCTCCACCGCCCGGGTCCTCAGCACCAGCAGCAGTGCCACCGCCCGGGTCCTCAGCACCAGCAGCAGCTCCAACGCTCGGGTCCTCAGCACCAGCAGCAGCTCCACCGCCCGGGTCCTCAGCACCAGCAGCAGCGCCACCGCCCAGGTCCTCAGCACCCGCAGCAGCTCCAACGCCCGGGTCCTCAGTACCAGCAGCAGCGCCACCCCCAGGGTCTGCAGCACCAGGAGCACCACTCCGAAGACTGCAGCGCCGCGCGTACCACTCTCGGATCTGCTGAATGGGGGGGAGCTCCTGGGTAGGAGGGGAAGTACTGGTACGAGCTCCAGCAGCACCTCTCCGGAGGCGGCAGTACTACAGGTACCTCTCCTACAGCTGCTGGGAGGAGAGGGCTCCTCCAGGTGTAGCACGCTCAGGCTCAGCACCTCCAGACACAGCACCCCCAGACGCAGCACCCCCAGGCTCAGCACCTCCAGACTCCGCACCCCCAGGCTCCGCACCCCCAGACTCAGCACGGTCAGGCTCAGCACCCCCAGGCTCAGCACCCCCAGACGCAGCACCCCCAGACGCAGCACCTCCAGGCTCAGCACCTCCAGACTCCGCACCCCCAGGCTCAGCACCTCCAGGCTCCGCACCCCCAGGCTCAGCACCCTCAGACTCCTCACGGTCAGGCTCAGTACCCCCAGCAGGACGAGAGTCAACAGCTACCTCGACAGGCTCAACCGGGTCTACCTGGGACACACCTGAGGGAGCGGCACCCTGAGGGGGGAGGGGGTCTGGGACCTCAGCACCTGGAGCGAGGAAGAGAGGCGGGGGGGGGAGCGGGGCAGTGCGGTAGGGGAAGAGGCGGTAGTAGGGGACGGACTCGTCAAAAGTGACGTCCTGAGAGGCCAGGACACGACGCGAGGTGGCGTGGTAGAACTGCCAACCAGGCGCGTCCGGGACAAAGCCAAGGAAGACACAGGGGACAGCTCGACGGGAGAGCTTGTCCGCGGACGTATCGCGAACAAAAGCTCGAGATCCCCAGACCCGAAAACGCGACGCATCGCCAGCCTCTCCCGTCCAACGCAGTGTCGGAGAAGTCTCCGGTAAGGAGACACGGGGCCAGAGGTTGAGCTGATGCGCAGCGTATCGGACTGCAAACGGCCACAGAAAGTGGGGGGCAGCCGCATGAACCAAGGAGGTACGAGCGACCTCCATGACCAAGCCAATGCGGCGCTCAGCAACCCCATTCTGCTGTGGAGAGGCCGGAAGCGTGAACGACTGCTCAATGCCCTCCTGCTGACAGAAGGCCTCCAAGAGGCCAGAGGAAAACTCCCCACCTCTGTCAGAGTGCAGACGCAGGACAGGGAAGTCGGAGCGGAAACGCTCACTGAGCTGGAGACGAGATCTGCGGATCCAAGGGATCAAGACATCAGGGACGTCACCCTTGGTGCGCAAGGGGAAGACCGTGGTGTAGCGCGAGAAGTCGTCAACAACAATCAGGAAGTACCTCTCCTGACCCTGACCACGGACGCGGGCTGGGCCCCACACGTCCATGTGGAGCGTCTGCAAAGGAGCAGTCGTCGGGGGGAAGGAGGAGGAGTGAGGAGCGGCGCGCTGCCGCCCCTCGACACAGGGAAGACAGGGAGGAGCAGGCGAGGGTGGGAGGGGAGGGAGAACCCTGGGAAGACCAGCAACAAGGTCCCGTTTGTGCATGGCCCAAAGGCGCTGCACAGACGGGTGACCAAGGCGGTGGTGCCAGAGGACAGTCTCATGCGCCAGAGAGCGACACGAGCAGGGGGCGGACAGCTGACCTGACGCAGACGCAGACGCGGACGCAGCTACCTGAGGGGACTCAGTGGTCAGTGTGTACAGGTCCGACCCCGGCTGCCAAGTGAAGGTAGCCAGGTGACGGCCCGTCCGAGCACACGTGCAGTGGGTCACGCGCTCGTAAGCAGGGGTGAACTAGTGAACACCCCCGTCCTGGAGCGCACTACCTGCCACCAAGTTCGTAGAGAACGAGGGGAGGTAGAGGCCTGACAGTGTGCCTGACGGGACCGCAGGACAAGGAAGGACAGTGGAGGAGGTCGCAACGACCGGACCCCCTGAGGGGTCAGCTAGGGAGACAGCAACTGGCCGAGCAAGCGGCTCAAGGGCAGTGCGGTCACGAAAGAAACAGCGAGAAGCACTTGAGTCCAGTGTGAAGGTGTGCAGTGCTGCAGTCGACTCAGTACCAGAGGGCACGGACTCACTAGCACCTAGAGCAGCAGCCTCACCAGGACCTGGGGCAGCAGACTCACTAGCACCTAGAGCGGCAGCCGGACTGGTCTGAATGCCCGGGTCGGGCGGAACACGCAAGTACTGAGCACCCTCTCCACTAGTAAACATCGCATACATGGCAGTGAGAATAGCATCAAAGTCTAAAGCCCAGATATCAACTCCCTTCTTCTCCAGATCAGCCCAGCGGGGCAGCTCAGTGGCATCAGGAAACTGGGCACGCCACGCGTCAGTAAGGCGCGCGAAACAGCGCTGTGTGGGATGCGGCCTCCCACACTGCTGGCCAGTGCGGTCACCAGTGCGAATGACGTACGTGCAGGTAAAGCCACGCTGCGCATACCACTCACGGGCGGCCTGAAGCGACGGGGCGGGCTGCTGACTCTGGCCACCGCCAGCGCCTCCACGACCACCACTGCCGCCGCCACCGCCTCGGCCACCTCCACCCCTGCCGCTGCCACGACCACCTCCGCCTCCGCTGCCGCCTCCACCCCTGCCGCCACTCCCGCCGCTGCTGTCACCACCCCCACTGCCGCCACTAGCCTCTCCAGCCCCTCCTCCACTCCCACCGCCTCCACCCCCACCTCCTCCGCCGCCACCTCCACCCTTGCCCCCTTTGCTCTTGCGGCGCCCGCTCGAAGCAGACGCGGCCCCGACCTTCTCAGCACCAAGGAGGTCGACAGCAGCAGCAGAGGCGACAGAGGGGAGGAGAGGGGAAGGGGAACACCCCTCAAAGAACGGGGTGCGGGGGTCGCCACGAGAGGTGCCTACAGCGACGATGCTCGCCTCAGCTGCAAGCAGTTCCTTCTCGAGGAGGGCAATGGTGAGTTCAGTGGGGGAGCGAGAGAGGAAGTGGTCCCTGACTGTGCGCAGGGAGTCGGGGAGGCGGGTGACTATGTGGTAGAGAGTGATCCAGAGCGGGGGGGGGTTGCTGGTGAGGAACTCGTCAGGCATAGCAGCGCGAAAGCGGGCCTCACTGGTCTTAAGGTGGGTGATGAGGTCAGCAACTGTCTGAAAGGAGGCCAGGTCGGGGAACAGGTAGGGGAGAGTGAGGCGGCCTAGTGTGGCAGAAGCGGGGGAGGAGTAGCGAGCGACTACAGCAGTGTACAGGTCCTTAGCAGTTTTGTGCTGGCCAAAGTGCTCGCGCTCGTCGATCGGTAGGGAGTTACGAATAGCGAAGCGAGCGTGGGCGTCACGAGTCTGCCACTGTGAGCGCTGAGTGCTGTCAGCAGTGGTAGGAGGGGCAGTAGCGTTGCCTAGGGCGTGATCGTACAGTGAAACGTCCTCCTTAGCAGTGAGCTGTAGAAAGAGGAACATATAATGTTTGACAGCTCAAACCCCCTGCACCCATCTCTCTTCCACGGAGGTCATGAAAATCACTGCTCTACACCATCCCAACATTCTGCGGCCACTGGGAGTGGCTTGGGCGAACTATTAAAACCGCCTGCACTTACCCTTATGTCAGATGTCAGAATAAAATCATGATCATGAGGCACGCCAGGATGAAATCATGATCATGACGCACCCCAGGATGCGTCCTGCTGGGAGTGGCTGTCCTGGGGCGAACCATCATACACACCCCCTCCTTTCTGACCCCCCTTCACCAACCCTCGTGGATGGCAGGGGGGGTCATGCTTATCGTGATGTTTCCCCATGTGTCTCCTCCCTGTCCTCTCCCCCCATCAGACGGAGGTCATGACGATGACGGTGCTGAACCATCCCAACATTCTGCGCCTGCTGGGAGTGGCCGTGATGGGGCAAACCCTTGCCATGGTCTCGGAGTTCGTCCCTGGCGGAGATGTTTCGCAGCGACTGAAGAAAGGTACAGGAGGGTGGAATGGGGTAGAATGGGGTAGAACGGGGCGGAATGCGGTGGAATGTGGTGGGCCTGTGTGCACGTCATGGGGCGGATCACTGCCTTGGACTCTGAGTTCGCCCTGGAGGGGGGGGGGGATTTAGAGGAGGAAGGGGGGAGATGTTGCGCAGCGTGGGAGGAAATGTTGCCTAGCATGGGGGGAGATGTTCCTTAGCATGGGGGGGGGGGGTGTTGCCTAGCATGGGGGGAGTTGTTGCCTAGCATGGGGGGAGATGTTGCCTAGCATGGGGGGAGATGTTGCCTAGCATGAGGGGAGATGTTGCCGAGCATGGGGGGAGATGTTGCCTAGCATGGGGGGAGATGTTGCCGAGCATGGGGGGAGATGTTGCCTAGCATGGGGGGAGATGTTGCCTAGCATGGGGGGAGATGTTGCCTAGCATGGGGGGAGATGTTGCCTAGCATGGGGGGAGATGTTGCCTAGCATGAGGGGAGATGTTGCCTAGCATGGGGGGAGATGTTGCCTTGCATGGGGGGAGATGTTGCCTAGCATGGGGGGAGATGTTGCCTAGCATGGGGGGAGATGTTGCCTAGCATGGGGGGAGATGTTGCCTAGCATGGGGGGAGATGTTGCCTAGCATGGGGAACATGTTTGCCAGCTCCTCAAGAAAGGTAATGCGGTGCCATCAGGTGTTGTGTGGTGCGATGGTCCTCGGGGTGTGGAAAGGAGGGGGTGAAAGCAGATGGAACAAGCCTAGCAGGTTCCAGGCGCCTCAAAACTAACTGAAAGCAACTGGAACAAGCAACTGGAACAAGCAACCAGAACTTGTCCCACTCACCCCTTGCTTTTCTTTCACTCACTCATTACTCGCAGTTAATATCTTAGGTGCCTCAAAACCCGTCCTGCCCACCCCTTCCGCACATCCCTTCCTGTCCAAGCAGCAAGGAGTGGCACAGAGCCGTACCCCTGGAACGAATGGCCACGTATAGCGGTGGGATGTGTGGCGAGACATGCCTGCCTGTGCCTCTCCCCATTCCCCCTCCCTGTCCACGCAGCAAGGAGTGGCACAGAGCTCTTCGAAGGACTGGCAAAGTATAGTGGTGGGAAGTGTGGCGAGACACACTTGCCTGTGCCTCTCCCCACCTGCTATCTCCCCTCCCCCTTCCCCCTTTCTTTCCAAGCAGCAAGGAGTGGCGCAGAGCCCTTTCCATGGAAGGACAGGTTGCGCATTGCCAGGGGGAGTCTTGAGGGGCTGGCAGCGATCCACAGGGAGGGATTCATCTACCGCGACTTTAAGGCCGCCAATGTGCTTCTAACGAAGGTGGGCCCCTTCAATGTGCTTTTAGCGAAGGTAGGTCCCTCCAATAGTGCTATTAATGAAGGTGGGCCAGGGGGGGTCTCGCAGGACTGGCTGCCACGACTTCAAGGCTGCTAATTTGCTTCTCACCAAGGTTGGTTCATTTGTTTGTGTGCTTCTCACCTATGTGGGTTCCAACGAGGGTGAGTCAGCTCAGTGGGCTCATAGGGAGGGATTCGTCCTCAGCGACTCAGCATACGCCTGGTGACATTTGTGTGCGTTACTCTAAGCGTGGGCAGAGTTACGAAACGTTTCGACTCAGGCTGGCCAGGGTGATTGAATCGCAAATGCTATAAGTTGGGATGTTGATTGACTTCCCTCGGACCTTCAAGGCGCCTAAGAAACTGCCTCACTTCCCACAGAAATTGTCTCACTTCCCACAGAAACTGCCTCACTTCCCACAGAAACTATCTCACTTCCCACACACTCCCTGAGGCAGAAGTGAGTTTTAGAGTCGTCTCAAAAAGACTGTCTCACTTCCCACGGATTCCCTTCTGAAGGACCGACCATGACCAGCCAAGGCAAAGCAAAAGCCCAACACATATTGCAGCCCTTGACAAATTTCACCCATTCCCTGTTTCCTCTTGCTTCGTGCCTATGTGCTTCTTTCTCCACACGCTCATATTTAAGGTGAGATGTTTCAGTTTACCGAATGCCTGGCAAGTAGACATCTTCGACTAGCCAGAGTATGTTAAAACAAAACGCGACTCCTGTTAAGCAAGCATGACAAGTACGCATGCCAAGTCCTACAAATACGACTCCTTGCGGTCAAGGCATGTCAGAGAAAGCACATCTCCTTGTGGTCTCGGACTGATTTCTCTCTCCCACCTACTGTTTTGTGTTCTTGTTTTCAATCCGCATGTCTCCAGACGCTCGTTCCCAAGGTGGCAGATTTCGGATTGGCCAAGGCATGCCAGGACAGGACACATGTCACGACGCGAGTGGCTGGGTCGTGGGGCTACATGGACCCGGACTATTTTGAGAGAGGTGAGCCGGCGTGCTGCGTGTTGCGCCTCATATGATGAAACAGTGCTACATGCGCCTCACGAATTCCAAGTATGTGTAGAGAATGGCTGGGTCATGGGGCTACATGGAACCAGACTATTTTGAGAGAGGTGAACTGACGAGGTGGCTCCCCCTGTCTGCTCTCAATTAAAGCTGGCACTATTGCAAGTACTATGCCCCATAGTAATGGCTCAGGTGTGCGCGCAGTGCACCGAAAGTAACCATGGCTCAGGTATGTGCACGGTGCAGCCAAGGTCATCACGGCTCAGGTATGGCCAAGTTGAGCTGCTCCAAGATTTTTTTGCCTCGAAATTTGCCTGGTTTTGAGAGAGTCTTACATGGGTTATGTGTGACATTTAGGAGGTGCGTCGTTCAAGAGTTGTTCTAAGTATCTTCCTCTATACTTCCTTGCTTTGCAAATCATGTGTCCCCTCACAATTCATGTCTCGCTATTTGTACACTCTCACACTCACCCCTTGCATCCCCAGTGATTACTATCAACTGAACCAGAGACAACATCATCTTGCCGGTACGTGATCAAGCTTCTTGATTACGTCACATCTCACACTGTTCCCACCAGTGCCCAAGCTTTTGAGACGCGTCTTGATTTCTTGCTACCCTTTTTCCCTTCAGGAATCTTATCGACACATTGCGACACCTACGCGTTCGGCGTTTTCCTTCTAGAGCTTCTCACCGGGTGCAGTGTGCTGGACGAATAATTTCAAGTAAAAAGGAGGTATTTGCGGGATCTCTCATTCACGGATTGCGCCGAGCTGTTTGACAAGAAACTGGAGAGGCAATGGATGGAGGAGCAAGCGGAGGTTCTGGTGGGCATCATGCGAGTTGCAATTCAGAGTGACTGGGCTCATCGACCTACGACTGCGGCGAGAGCAAGGGAAAGGGAGATTGGGTGTTGGAAAAGGTGCATTAGCACAATGTTAGGGAGATTGTGATGTTCGAGGGGTTCAGATTGAAGAGCAGTGACAGGTTCTAATGCGGCGATAGGTAAAAAATCAGGTTTCGTTGAATGAATAGACAGATCAGAGCTGGTTAGCTTGTTGCTGTGAAGATTCTAGCTCACTCTTGTCATGATGTGCTTAAAAGAGGACACGGCAGAAGCAACAGGAGAAGCTACAGCATTACAGATGGGAAAAGGAGAAACACGCTGAGAGATTAAATGCTGCACTGGCGTAATTGTGGTGGTGCTGGTAGTGCTGCTACTGCTGGTGCTGTTGCTGTTGGTGCCGATGCTGATGCTGGTGCTACTTCTGCTTGTGGAGATTTTCTTTCTGGTGGCGGTGTGCATTGTGGGAATTCGGAATGAAGGGCTTTGGTAAACGCACAGCACTTGCAATCTGGTGAGGTCCTTTATTTTTGTTGGAAGTGATCCAAAATATGAGGTTCTCGAGACGTCGCTGGTGGGAAGGAGAGGGAGGACAGTGAAGGACAGAGAGGCAAGGAGAGGGAAGAAAGGAAGGTAGGATAGTGCAAAAAAATGGTAAGTCACCTTGAAACATCTCGAATAACAGGGCAAGGGCATGAGGTAGTGAAGACGGGTGAAAGAAGGGAAGGGGAACAGAGATAAAATGGGGCAGGGAGAGATAAGAAGTTTGTAGTAGGGGAGACGTGGAAGAGGAAGGGCAGGGTGGGGGGGGTGAGATGGGGGGTTAGGTCAGGGAAGGGAGGAAAAGGGGAAGAGTGAGATGGATAGGAAGGTATGGAGCTAAACTTGTCCACTGATAGAAATATGCTGGCTTGCTCCATGCATCTGATAAAGGAAGTAAAGCAATTCAGAGCAGGGGAGAGCAGATCACCACATAGCAGAGCACAGCAGAGAACTGCACCGCACTGGACAGCAGTGACAAAGAAAAGCAGAATGGACCAACAAGTCACGAGACACAAGAGACACACCAACTTTCGTGCACTAGCTAAATGGAACCATCCACTTCAACCGGCTCCCACCCCACCCAATTCCACTGCAACCCCTCGTCCTTCCCACCCGTCAGTATGAACCACGAGTCTCCATGCAGCATCCAGTGAGTGAGAGAGGTGTATGAGAGGAGAGGAGTCAAAGCAAGAGCAAACTCACAGCACATTGACGGTAGCGAGGGTAGATATTAGTGCGTTCACGCCGCCTGCCAGGAGGAGGTTGTTGTTGATGGATGGGAGGAGTGGGAGAGGAGGGGAATGGGGAAGTGAGGGGTGTCAGATAAAGAGATGGCAAGGTGAGGGGAACAGGAGAAACACAGGAAGAGGATGGGGGTTGCTATGGGAGGTGGGACGGGGGGTGCTATGGGAGGTGGGACAGGGGGTGCTATGGGAGATGGTACGGGGGGTGATATGGGAGGTGGTATGGGGGGTGCTATAGGAGGTGGTACGGGGGGTGCTATGGGAGGTGGTACGGGCGATGCTATGGGAAGTGGCACGGGGGGTGCTATGGGAGGTGGTACGGGGGGTGCTATGGGAGGTGGTACGGGGGCCCGGGGGGTGCTATGGGAGGTGGGACGGGGGGTGCTATGGGAGGTGGGACGGGGGGTGCTATGGGAACGGGGGGTGCTATGGGAGGTGGTACGGGGGGTGCTATGGGAGGTGGTACGGGGGGTGCTATGGGAGTTGGTACGGGGGGTGCTAAGCGAGGTGGGACGGGGGGTGCTATGGGAGGTGGTACGAGGGGTGGTATGGGAAGATTGTGAAGGAAGTGGTACATGAGGTGGCATGGGAGGTGGAACATGATGTGGCACGGGAGGTGGTACGTGTGCATCACACATCCAATGCGAGAGTGCAATGATGTGTGAAACAAGGTTATGCTTGTCAGATGAGTGAGTGTCTGAGCAGCAGTACCAAGTCACTGTAAAGCCAGAAACGGAAGAGGTCAATGAAAGAGTGCATTGATGTACATGCAACTATGGGACTACTATCGTACAGAGCACACGACACTCACTCCTGGGTATTGCACTCACAGGCGTGTCAAGCCAGTAAGAATATTGTAGTTTGCAGGGATGGAGCCGCTGAGCTGGTTGTCTCCGATATTCCTGCATGCTTGCACACATGAGTGCCACATGATTCCCACCCAACCAACCGATGTATGAGGCGCGCCAGAAATAGGTGTGGTTTGAGACGCCTAAAAACGCATGTGAGATCCATCAACAATGAGCAAACATCGCTCCAGCCCACCCATAGGAATTAGTGTGAGATCAACATGACGTCAGCTTGATGTCACCCTAAACCCAAAAGCGTCGTCATCATAAAAGAATGGCATCATCATGACGCAAGCATGTCTTCAGCATGATGCAACCATGTCGTCAGCATGATGTGAGAGGCATATATTGTTGTCTGTTTAGGTACGCTGAACCCTACTTCCAAGGGCATACCTTTCAATCATGATCAACATTAAAGTCCTATAACAATACCTCCACTTTGTCTCCTCACATCTCATTCAGAACACCAGGATTGGCGAAGAATACAGGGAGCGGGCCTGTCAGCTTATTCTTTCCCAAGTTCCTGTGCAGATTGTGAAATGGGAGGAGAGATGCATTTTTAGTCAACTCAAAACCGAAAGTGATTTTCCCATAATCTCGTTGGAGGGGACGAAGGGAGGAAAGGGGGCAGGGATCGAGAAAACGGGAGTTAGGTGGCGAATCGTGAGCGATGGTAGACACCATATCGTTTAGGAGTTGGTAAAGTTGATATGAGATTGCAGGACGGTTAGGAGTTGGAGAAGAAGAATCTGTGGTGGCTCTGGTTGAAAAGACATGGATGCAGGCGATGGGGTTGGGGTGAAGAGGTATAGGTTGAAGGGGAGAAGATGAAGTGGCACGAGGTAACAGGATACAGATATGGAATACGAACAAGTGAAGAGACACATGTATTTTGATACAAGATTTTTGGAGCTTTTTGTGCTTCTTCTTTTTGATTTGGCAATGGAACTGTTTCCAAGTCAGCTCAAACGTCAGATGCATGCAGCATGGAACGGCGAATATTTGTAAAGGAGGTGTTGTTACAGGACTTGAAGGTTGATCATGAGTGTCATCATGCCGTCTGGAATCGAGCCTGTGAGCTGGTTGTTGTTCAGCCGACTGATGCCATGTGGGAGAGAGAGCAACAAGTGAGTGAGTGAGTGAGTGAGAGAGTGAGAGTGATTGAGTGAGTCTTACTGGGAAACGTTCCCTGGTGGTAGGAGTAAAGTATGGTGGGTGGGGTCATGGAAAAATACACTGGGACGTGGTTTTACAGGTAGGCCGACTAGAAAGCAAAACGATCATGCTTGGAGACGGATATGGCTCCAGCTTAACAAGGGAAAAAAGAGAGAAGCGATACGTGAAGTGGCATGGGGGGTGGTACATGTGTAGTACAGCACACAAGCAATGCGACATGGCACATGATGTGTGAAACAAGGTTATGCATATGAACAGAGGAAACTGATAAATAGGGATGCGGTTCGATGAATGAGAGCTTGTAAGATTAGTGAGTGCCTGTGCAACAGGTTATTGAAAAGACAGAAGCAGAAGGGGCAAATAAGAGAGGGGATTGACGTCAATGCAGCCATGAAGCTACTGTAATACACACGAAGCACACAACAATCAGTCCTAGATATTACACTCACAGACGAATTAAGTTCCAAAGCGAATCGAGGTTTGCAGGGATGGAGCCACTGAGCTGGTTATCTCCGAGGTTTCTGCACCCATGCACACAACACATGTATGCAGGCATGTATGCATATGATCAGACCCACCCAACCCAATCAGCCATTGTGATGCTCGTAACAGTAGGTGTGATTTGAGTCAGCTCAATACACATGTGAGGCCCGTCAACAATATGCAAACATCTCTCCAAACCTCCCATTGCTACAAACGCGTGATCAGAATGGCGTCAGCTGGATGTTACCCTAAGCCCAATGGCATCATCATCATACAAGCATGACATCAGCATGATGCAACCATGACATCAGCATGATGCATCCATGACATCAGCAGGAGAGGTGCATTCTGAGTTGTCTCAAAACCAGATGCCCGTGAGGGTTGGAGACGAGGCGGGGAGAGGGCAGCGAGCGAGGGTATGGGAGTTGGGCAGCGGATAAAGAGGGAAGAAGACAACAGCTTAGTGTAGGAAAGATGCGGCACAGGAAAAATGCGGCACAGGAAAGATGCGGCACAGAAAAGGTGCGGCACAGAGAAGGTGCGGCACAGAAAAGGTGCGGCAAAGAAAAGGTGCGGTGCGGCACAGAGAAGGTTCTGCACAGATAAGGTGCGGTGCGGCACAGAGAGGGTTCGGCACAGATAGGTGCGATGCGGCACAGAGAGGGTTCGGCACAGATAAGGTGCGATGCGGCACAGAGAGGGTTCGGCACAGAGAAGGTGCGGTGCGGCACAGAGAAGGTGCGGCACAGACAAGGTGCGGTGCGGCACAGAGAAGGTGCGGCACAGAAAAGGTGCGGCAAAGAAAAGGTGCGGTGCGGCACAGAGAAGGTTCTGCACAGATAAGGTGCGGTGCGGCACAGAGAGGGTTCGGCACAGAGAAGGTGCGGTGCGGCACAGAGAAGGTGCGGCACAGAAAAGGTGCGGTGCGGCACAGAAAAGGTGTGGCACAGACAAGGTGCGGTGCGGCACAGAGAAGGTGTGGCACTGAAAAGGTGTGGCACAAGGACAGCCCAATTCGGGCCTGGCTGGCCTAGCCTTGGCCCAGCCAATGGCCATGCCTACCCACGGACACACACACAACTGACAGCCATACAGCCCCGCACCCACCCACCGTGCCGTCCACTGTGCGTATGAGGCAACACAGGCACGGCATGCACTCACAAAAGGTCACCGACTCACAGGAAGCTTAGCTCCGAAAGGGTGCCAATGCTGGTGAGTATGCTGCCCTTGAGACCCGCGTTGGACAGGTCCCTGTAGGGGGGCACATGGGGCATGTGGGCCATGTGGGACACGTGGTGCACATGGGGCATGTGGAGCACATGGGGCATGTGGGGTACATGGGGTATGTGGGGCACATGAGGCATGTGGGGTACATGGGACGTGTGGAGCACATGAGGCATGTGGGGTACATGGGTCATGAACCATTAATACAATGCCACAGTAGCTACCATACGACCACGTCTTACTGCCACTGAACCCACCCCCTCTGTGTGCTTTAGGCAGCAGAACAGGACATCCGAGAGTCTCAGCTCACATGGAAATGACGTCGCCCTGGCTAGAGCAGGTAACGCCCATCATGCTGCCACAGTCGTTGCCAGACGACCACGTCTCACCGCCACTGAACCCACCCCCTCTGTGTGCTTTAGGCAGCAGCATGGGACACCGCAGCTCACATGGAAATGATGTCGCCCTGGCTAGTGCAGGTAACGCCCATCATGCTGCCACAGTCGTTGCCAGACGACCACGTCTCACCGCCACTGAACCCACCCCCTCTATGTGCTTTAGGCAGCAGCAGCAGCAGCAGCAGCATGGGACACCGCAGCTCACATGGAAATGATGTCGCCCTGGCTAGTGCAGGTAACGCCCGCCATGCTGCCACAGTCGCTGCCAGACGACCACGTCTCACTGCCACTGAACCCACCCCACTCGCTCTTCAGCGCCTGGAGGACCGACCCTGGCATGGAAAGATGGCGCGGAGGAAGGGAATAGGGAGGGAGATGATCCGGCCGAGAGGCATACACACTCTATCGCTTTTGTGCTGCTTCCTCTGTAGCCCACCCAGCTGGTCCGTGGTCCGCCTATCTCTGTTCTTGGTCATGGGGCAGACGATCGTGACCCAGGATTCTATGGTGGTCCACCGTTAGCATTACCCCCAAGGCATAACTCCCAAGCCGTTTCAGTGTCGAGCCATTTCAGTGCCGAGTTGATTCAGTGCCAAGCCGTTTCAGTGCTGACCCGTTTCATAGCTTAGCCGTATTCAGTGCTGAGCCGTTTCAGTGCTGAGCCATTGTGCTGAGCCGTTTTATTCCTGAGCTGTTTCAGTGCCGAGCCGTTTCAGTGCCGAGCAGTTTCAGTGCCGAGCCGTTTCTGTGCCGAGCCGTTTCAATGCCGAGCCGTTTCAGTGCCGAGCCGTTCCTGTGCTGAGCCGTTTCAGTGCCGAGCCGTTTCAGTGCTGAGCCGTTTTAGTGCAGAGCCGATTCAGTGCCGAGCAGTTTCAGTGCCGAGCCGTTTCAGTGCTGAGTCGTTTCAGTGCCGAGCGGTTTCGGTGTTGAGCCGTTTCATTTCAAAACCGAGCAGTTTCAGTGCCGAGCCGTTTCTGTGCCAAGCCGTTTCTGTGCCGAGCCGTTTCAATGCCAAAGCCGTTTCATTGCTGAGCCGTTTCAGTGCCGAGCCGTTTCAGTGCTGAGCCGATTCAGTGCCGAGCAGTTTCAGTGCCGAGCCGTTTCAGTGCCAAGCCGTTTCGGTGCCGAGCGGTTTCGGTGTTGAGCCGTTTCATTTCAAAACCGAGCAGTTTCAGTGCCGAGTCTTTTCAGTGCCAAGCCGTTTCAGTGCCGAGCCGTTTCAGTGCCGAGCCGTTTCAGTGCCGAGCCGTTTCGGTGCCGAGCCGTTTTGGTGCCAAGCCGTTTCAGTGCCAAGCCGTTTCAGTGCCAAGCCGTTTCAGTGCCAAGCCGTTTCAGTGCCAAGCCGTTTCAGTGCCAAGCAGTTTCAGTGCCGAGCCGTTTCAGTGCCGAGCCGTTTCAGTGCCGAGCCGTTTCGGTGCCGAGCCGTTTCGGTGCCAAGCCGTTTCAGTGCCAAGCCGTTTCAGTGCCAAGCCGTTTCAGTGCCAAGCCGTTTCAGTGCCAAGCCGTTTCAGTGCCAAGCCGTTTCAGTGCCAAGCCGTTTCAGTGCCAAGCCGTTTCAGTGCTAAGCCTTCCATGTAGCCGGCCAGTCTGCCCCATGCGTCGACCATATTTGATTCTTGGAAACCTATCAGAGAGGCCGTGAATTTGCCTGTGCGGTGCTTCGCAGAACTGGTGTAGATCGGTAAGTTCACATGGTAAGTTGGTCATGGCGCGAAAAGCAGTATCACTCAGTCATTCCTCGCCTCTGTGTTCCCTCCAACATGTTATTGTGCTGCAGCAAAATTATGTCGCCGCTGTGCACAGAGGAGGTGGCCTTTGATTGACTTGAGGTAGGCTTTTGGTGACATGAGGTGAGCATTCAACTTGACACGGAAATATGGCCGGACGACAGTACGCGGGTGGAGGCGGATAGCTGCATGGCTCCATCCATGAGCTACGTGAGCGTCATCTGATCAGGCCAGTCCATCCCTGCACCCTCTGCCATGATCTGCCGGATCCCGAGCCCAAGTCCCCCTGTGCCGGCGGTCCCTCTGGCACCGCCACCTGGCAGGTTACACCGAATGCGCCTACAGCAAATATCTGCACCCATCATGTCTTACAACACCTTTTGAAACGATTTAACAAACCACGCGCCTGCGAGAACCCTCTATCCCAGCAGAAGCCCTTGAGGCGGCTCCCTCAAATGATCGCCCATGGCCGGCACTTGCACAGAAGCTGCCTTTGAAACCCGCCAGCAGGCACCCTCACCATGTGCCTGACAGCGCTCGCTCTTTGAACGGACGCTCTGAAAAAGGCTCAGAGAAATTAACCGAGCGATGGAGAGCCTTAACACTCTGGCTCAGAAGCTTGGCCGTGGCGTTTGCAGGAGGCGGCTGTAACGCCTGGGGCTGTCACGTTGATGGGCATTCCTGCTGTAACACCTCGTTTTGACCCGGCTGAATGTCGAAACTCATATTCTTACATTGAGAGGATTTGACCCTGGCCGCATGGGCTTCTGGCAGGAAGGGAATAGGCGAACCCGCGAGGGCGACAACGGCGACGGTTATGGCCACAGCCATGGTCACGCGAATCGCCATTTACTAGCGATATATCATGAGCGCAGCCGCTGCTGCTCCAGCGCTACGGGGAACGGCTTGCTGCTGTTTGTTGAGCTGTCGTTGCTGCAAACACCAAACTTGAAGTCCAAACACTCTGTTGTCAGGCTATGTCCTGACACGAGCGTTGACATGCCGCAGAAAAACCTGTGTTTTACCTACACTCACGGACATCTCTGGATCGATGTGGTCCAGGCCAGGTATCCCCCAAGGATTGCATTGCAACACTGACGGTGGTTGGCGAAGGAGCTCGCCCCAAACCAGGCTGTACAGGGAGCTCCGAATGGTTCACGTGCAGAGCGCAGTACTGTATGTGTGTTCGTGTGTTTTGCAATAAATTTTGAACCTGCCCTCGCTACTCCAGGGAAAGGCGTCGAGCAGGTGTCTGGAAAGTTTCAGAATTCACACAAATTTTTTCAATTTCGATCGCTACACAAATTGTCGGTGGGCAGAACTGCTTCACCTTTTTAGAAAAAGGTTCTACGGCGCCGTATCAAAACAGTGATTTCTCACCCTCCCCACTCCCGGAAGCAGTGCCTGTACAGCACAAGTTCGGCTTTTCCAGTCACATTCACTGCAGTGGCAGTGACCTGTGGCCACAGAATTTCGGCTCGTTTCTCCGTCGCCTCGGCAATAGGCTGCCCAACCACACCCAAACGCAAACCTTCTCCAACATAACGAACAGAAACGCCCAAACCAAGTCGACAGGTTAGTGCAGCGCCGAGGCAAGGAACTTTCTCTCCGAACCACACTTGCGACCAATGACGAGATGGTGGCCTACGTAGTTCAGATGTCCAGCATAACAGTACACATGATGCCCAAACTTATGTCTGCCCAAAACCCCAAGCCCTCTACAAAGATCACCACTCCCTCTCATAACACAGCACGCACAACGGCACCTCAGAAACAATCGTGTGCATGGCTGTTGTGAAAGTACAGAATTTGCTTGTGGTGTGTAAACAGTCGACAGAAACTGGAAACTCCCCTCGAGACAAAACACACACGCAAAGCCCTGTCGGTTTTTGCTGGTAACCACAAATCCCGCACGAAACAACGCAAGCGAGACAACGAGCAGTTCCCCAGGGGTGGAAACTGTAACCACATTCAAACTCACGTGAAACTAGTGGCGATGATGGCGAAATATCACGATTTGACAACCGGCTTTCGAAACCGCCCTCATTATAAAAAAAGAAAAGTTTATCTGTTGTAAAGAGAGTGTAGCACAACGAAATATTTTGGGTCCCGCCGCAGCAGTGTTCATTTTTCCCGAACTAGGGCTTGCAAAAGAACAAGATTCAGCAGCAGCAGAGTGGAGGGCAGCAGCAGCTGCAGAGCGGAGGGCAGCAGGAGCTGCAGAGCGGAGGGCAGCAGCAGCTGCAGAGCGGAGGGCAGCAGCCCAATCAGAGCGGAGGGCAGCAGCAGCTGCAGAGCGGAGGGCAGCAGCCCAATCAGAGCGGAGGGCAGCAGCAACTGCAGAGCGGAGGGCAGCAGCAGCTGCAGAGCGGAGGGCAGCATGAGCTGCAGGGCGGAGGGCAGCAGCCCAATCAGAACGGAGGTCAGCAGCAGCTGCAGAGCGGAGGGCAGCAGCAGCTGCAGAGTGGAGGGCAGCAGCCCAATCAGAGCGGAGGGCAGCAGCAGCTGCAGAGCGGAGGGCAGCAGCAGCTGCAGAGCGGAGGGCAGCAGCAGCTGCAGAGTGGAGGGCAGCAGCCCAATCAGAGCGGAGGGCAGCAGCAGCTGCAGAGCGGAGGGCAGCAGCGGCTGCAGAGTGGGGGGCAGCTGCAGCTGCAGTGCGGAGGGCAGCAGCAGCTGCAGAGCGGAGGGCAGCAACAGCTGCAGAGCGGAGGGCAGCAGCAGCTGCAGAGCGGAGGGCAGCAACAGCTGCAGAGCGGAGGGCAGCAGGAGCTGCCCGATGGGGTGCAGCTTGCGAGGCTGCCAGAGGGGGAGATGGAGATGGAGTCGAGCAGACAGGTCTTGCCGGCGTGTTCGAGTGGAGAGGAGCACCCAGACCCTATGCTGACACCCCCGCCCCGCATCCCGTGCGAAACCTGTTATCGCACTTTCACGGAGAGAGGAAAGGCCACGCGTCATATGTCGGCCTGCAGGGCAGCGGACGCCAAGCGCCGTGCACAGGCGCTTGGGTTGACCCGCGACGTCACAGACGACTCGGACAGCGAACCTCCGCCACCACGGGATATCAGTGAAGAGGTGTGGGCCGCAGTTCCCACATGGGACTGGGAGTCGTTTTTCGGGATCGAATTGGTGCCAGGGAGAATCATGCGTCGCATCCCACAGCGCGCAAGACTGGGGGTGCTTGATGCACTAGCTTGTATCCTGAAGCGGCTCAAGTCAAAGGCAGCAGACGAGGCGGCATCCTTGGTGTTTTTGGCCTTCCCTCGTCTTTTCTTGGGGATTCCAACCGGGCAAGGCCAGGGGCAGAGGGCGGCAATTAGGGAGCGGTTGGAGAAGTTTTGGGCTGGGGAGTGGCAGCAGCTGTTTGAGTTGGCGGTGGCGGCGATGCAACCTGCGGCTCGCCCCTTGTCCTTCACCCCACCCGAGCATGATCCTAATGCCATACGCCTATCCCGCTGCCGTACAAGGTGCAAAGTGGGAGAATGGAGTCGGGGTTTGGCGTGCCTTACGGCTGGTAGCATCGCTCAGCCCTCTCAGCACATGGTGGACGCGCTACGAGCGAAACACCCATCGTGCGAGTCCGCCATTCCTGGGTGGGTGCAGGAGGAGACAGTCGAGCCTTCCCTTATCCCACAGCTCTCAGTGGAGGTACTCGGCCAGGCGATCCACTCAGCGGCTAGGGCGTCCGCACCAGGACCGTCGGGGTGGGTGACGGAGCACCTGCGCGACACTTTTCTCTCTGAGCCCGCGTATCTGTCCCACCTGCTAGAGGTCTTCACCCAGTGGACCAAGGGAGAGGTAGCGGAGCGCGTGCGACCCTGGCTCACTGCGTCCAACCTGGTGGGCCTGTCGAAGCCGAATGGTGACGTTCGCCCGGTGGCTATAGGCGAGGTGCTCCCCCGCATACTATCTCGGGCCATATGCATCGTGCTTCGCCCGAAGATGATGTCGCACTTTGCTCCGTGTAACCAGTTTGGAGTCGGGTCCAGGTCGGGAGTGGAAGTCCTCGCACATGCCTTTCGCTCCGCCATCTCTACTCACCCGTCGTGGTGTGCGCTGCAAATTGACGTGGCGAACGCTTTCAACTCCTTCCATCGGCGGGAAATGTTTGAGGGTCTTCGACAGTCGCCTTTCAAGGGATTGATTCCATTTCTGCGTGTCTTCTACGGCACTCCTAGCGACCTCTATCTCCGAGCGGGCCCTTTTGTCGAAGCTTTGGCTTCCGAGCGGGGCTCGAGGCAAGGGGATCCATTGGGTCCGTTTCTGTTCGCGTTCACACAGCAGCTGGTTATGGAACCAACCAAAACGGAGTACGCCGACTTACTCTTCCTCAGCTATGCTGACGATACGTATATCCTGGGGCCTAGGGAACGGGTTCTAGCAGCCTATGAGGCCTTGCGGGAACGACTGGACGGGCTGGGTTTGGAGGTGCAGCCGCATAAGTGTAAGCTATGGGAGCGAGGGAGGGACCAGGATGGGGAGGAGAGAAATGAGACTGTCCCGCCCGGCATGCAGCAGACATGGACGGGGCTCACTGTGGTAGGGGTGCCCATTGGGGAGGAGGACTGGGAGGTGGCTAGCCTGCGTCGCCGGCTGACGGAGCTGCATGCACCTGTCCCCTGGCTTCCTCTGCTTGACCACCCACAGATTGCGTCCCATTTGTTGGCGATCGCAGTGTCGGCGCGCCCGATCTACCTCACACGGACGATGCCTCCACGACCTGAGGTTGTGGAGGCTTTTCGGGACTGGGACACGAAGCTGGAAGATTGTTTCGAGGAGCTGTTTCCAGATAGTACCTGGGATCACGATTCGGGGAAGTCCCAGATGGCTCGTTTACAGCTGCACCTTCCTGCCAGACTCGGGGGGTTCGGCATTCGATCTGCGGCTGACCTTAGTCCTCTGTCGTATGCATGTGGCTGGTGCCAAGCAGTGAGCGATGTGGCTCGGTTGGGGGTGGCAGGTGAGGAGCGGATGTTTGAGGAGTTTTTCCGCACGCCCGAGGCTACGACCTTGTTGGACCCCTGGTTTGCGAGAGCAGTGGATCTGCTTCCACAGTCGGTTCGGCAGGAGATGCCACCCCTTGCCTTGTGCACCGCTGATCCGCCTATGCTGCTCTTCCCCACACAACACCGTCGCCTGGCGGTTGAGAGCCTCCAATCTCTTCGAGGCATGGCCCACAACGATGCCACCCTGGCCCGTTTGACATCCCTTCAGGGCCCGGGGGCTGGGGCGTGGGTTTCTGCCGTTCCTTCGCACGAGGAGGCTACCTTCACCGCAGCCGAGTGGAGCATCTGCGCGTCCATGCGCCTAGGCCTCCCTATTCAGCAGCTGATAGTGGCCGGCAAGTGCGCGTGTGGGTTTGAGTTTGCTGATCCCTCTGACCCGCATCATGCCCTTCGCTGCAAGTATCAGTATGCACCTTCTCGGGTTCACGATGCGGTTAAATTTGTGGTGGCGAAGATAGCTAAGGGTGCGGGTGGGATTGTGACCATGGAAGACGACACGTTGCTCCCAGGGAAGAGGGTTGATGTGGCGGTTCGGAAACTGAGGGAGGGGGAGGAGCACGCGCTGGAGGTTAGTGTGGTAGATCCTATCTCGCTATCCGCGCAGCACCATGGACAGATTGGTCGCAAGGTGGGTTTTGCCGCGAGAGAGAGAGAAAAGCGGAAGACGGCGGACTACAAATCGCTTCTACAGCGGCATGGGGGAGTGCAGTTCACACCACTCATTGCTGAGACATGGGGATGCTTGGGGGGGAGTTTTGGACGGTGGCTTAAGAAGCAGGGTGACGCGCAGATCGAGATAGCAAAGACGAAAGGGGCGGCGCGAGCTAC